GGTGATGGAGGTAAAAGTGCGATCGAGCTACGCATGTAGAAGAAAGGCAATTAATGCGTTGCCAAAAATGGCTAATGGAAAGGGATGTTCTTCTCTATATTATTTTCTTTATGAATGAGCTTCATCTTTTTTTGTGTTTGAGTTTATCGTCTGGCTTAACACACGTACAATTCCCTGAAAGTGGGTGGTTAGCGGGTGCTCTGGTGTGGTTGGCTTCTTCTTTCCTATCAAACATCTATCGTCCTTATCTGCCCTTCTTCTTTTTTATGTTTGTTACTCTCTTGTAACACCTCTAATCTTCTGGCGCAACCTTATACAGTTGCGAGCGCCATAGAACCTCTACTATAACAAGTTCCCAAGAAGGCTGTGCACTCACACCGGCGTCTGTAGTGAGTAATAGTGTATTGATTAAGTTCTGTTGCCCTTGCACACAGAAGACAACAGTTCGATTCCAGTGATAGGGAAGTAATTTTGTCAAGTGCATTCTTCTGTCTGCTGGGGTACTGTTCCCGACTCAACCTGGGCTGGGTTGTCTTTGAGAGGAAGGGTCAAAGCAGTCTGCCTCCTTAACCCTATCCCTACGTCATGTTTTACTATCGTATCCACTAACACTAACAATCAGTATTACAATTATACTTTCATTGTGGAGAATAAGAGCCAAATATGCAGATTTTCCATATCGATCTCTTTCTCTCCCCCTCGGGAATATCGTATCCTGTATATCTCTCTCTTAGTTTTATTGCAGCCTGACTGCTCATTTCATTGCTGGAAATCCCTTTCGTTTTCTATGTGAGATAGCGTCAGAAACAACAGCCTTTTGAATGCCCCATTCAGATTGGCTTGTTGGTTTTTATGAACGGCGTGGCGTGTCCCCCTTGAAAATTTCCTTTTTTTTCTTCTCGTGACTAAGTTGAGACTCCTCTGCCGTTTTATCTCAGCGCACAAGCAGTGGTACTGAATACGAAGATTCCACGAAAAAACCCAACGATAACAAGTTAACAAAAACAAAACAAAAACCAGAATTCAAAAACAACGATAGGAAAAAGCAAAATAAACAAACAAAAAGACAAACAGGCAAGCCACAAAATGGAAATAGGATATCATAAAACCATCTTTATTTGTTTCACTGTTGGTTTATTATTAATATTGTTAGATAAATGAACATAGCATCAAAAAGGGGGAAGGTGGGTGGGGGGAAGAGGATGAAAGAAGAAAAGCCCCCCCTCCCCCCCTTTCCCCCGGGAAAAAACAAACAAAAAGCGAACTCATGCAAAGTTACACAATGGAAATGGGGAGATAATCAATTTAAAAAACCTGTAGACTCAGAACTCCATTTCTGTTTGTGTGTTGGTTTGTTAATTTTTGTTTGATTTTTTCCCTCCATATTTTTAAAAGAAATATTAAACCAAAACTTAAACAGGAATGAAGCTATAGGCCCTTGTTCTACAAGTTTTTAAAAGTTGTCTCCTCACGATTTCCATTTTGTGATTACGCCTTGTGTTGTTTTACTCTCACATCGACACAAGTGAAATATTTGAATAGGTGGGCTGTGTAGTGTTGTCACTGTCAAACATGTTTAAGGGATTTAACCTAATAAGTCAATGTCCAGTTGTCCTCGTCCATTATTCTTAGTGACCACCCGTAACTGTCGTGAGTTGTCTTCGTCCTTTCGTAGTGATTACCCTTGTCAGTGTTGTGCTCTGGTGTGGTTTGCTTCTTATTTCCTATCAAACATCTATCGTCCTTATCTTCCCTTCTTCTTTTTATGTTTGTTACTCTCTTGTGACACCTCTAATCTTCGGCACTTTTTTGACCTTATTGTGTTGCAAGTGCCGTAAAACTCTT